CTACAAAATGGCTATCTTTAATATTTCTGGAAATAATTAAATAAAAAAATATATTTTTTACATTTTTTACAAAAACATTGAAATAAATTTAAAAAATGAAATAATTGTAGTTCTTATCCCTGTGAATCTTATTATAAAACCAGAATTTTGATATCTTCATTATTTCGTGAGATATCGCAATGGGTAAATCCTTGCGGGACATTCTGTATATATATATATATATAATATTATAATGTATACTATATACATAGGTATTCATTGATGTTCATATATTTGTATATACATTTTTGATCACACCAAACAGATTTTCACTCCACATAATCTTTTCCACTACTATCATAGTTATATTATACTAATAGCTAATAAAAAAAAATCTTTTCCACAAGATTACATTAAAAAGGTAGAGAACTCTCGCATTCTTAGCCAAAAACTTAAGAGGAATAAAGAGCATAAAATATCATATAAACTCTAACTATAAAGAACTAATTCAGCAGCTTTTTACCACTCTCATTAATAATTATAATATAAAAATAAGCACTCTAATATTTGTTCTTGTCTCTTCAGTATACCCTAGAAATAAAAAATATATATTTTTATAATCTTAAACCTGAAATATACTCTATTTACTGACATTTGATATTAGGTTTCACTCGATTCTAAAATACCACTAATCACGGACTAAATAAATATGGTTTGTATTTTGTGTTTTATTCGTCCAACAATTTCGAAATCACATCTTTCATCGATTTACATTATAAATTCTACAGCAACCAGTAGTAAAATGTAAGAATATTACCCAATATCAATCTTATTCAGCAATACAATTTTACTGTATAGAATACTGACCACCAGACTCCCTGTAGTGTTCAACATTTTACGCATATTTGTATTTAACACGTATTTATTAAATTAAAATAAAATATTCAACATTCGATCACCAAAAAAATAGCTGTATAATATTATAATTCATACACTATTCTCTTTTACCTTCCTTTCCCTACGCTTTTTTATTATTATTCAACTACACCATCAACACAACTCCCAGCTTTCTGTTATCCCCATCCTACACCTCTGATTATTTAAAGTTTTATTAAAATTTTTTATTCAATCATTTATTTTTTGTTACCATAAAATGATTATACTTATTTTAAATTACATTATGTTAAATCCGTTTTCAATCATCATTTTATTTCATCCAATATCGCTATTCTATAAGAAATAATAAATAAATAAAAAACCACGTAAAAATTAAATGAATAAATTATTTTGTTGAGTTATTTAATTATATACCAAGATTTAAAAATTGTTTTTTATAAATATGCTTTGAACCACACTATGTTCAATTTTCAAATCTTACGAAAAGACAACATGTGACTTTTAAACATATATTCTTCATATTAAAAGTAAAAGTTGTACTCCTACTTTTTACTATATTATAATACATATTATATACTATAAAGTAAGCAAACATATCATGAAAATAAATACGTATTATGTATAAATGCGTATAAATTGTTTTTGTTTGATTACGATATTTAAAATGAAAAAGATTTTAAAAAATGTAAATTCTATCAATATTAATTTTATTTGACTTAAAGGTAATACTGGGTGGTGGCAGAAGACACTGGTTACCAAAAGTAGCACAAGATCCAGAACTACCTACCGACGAGGGTAGACGATTAGACGGCCGGAATTTGATTGACGATTGGATTAGAGACAAAAAGAAACGAAACATTAAAGCTGAATATGTGTGGAATAATAGTCAGCTTGACAAAATTGATGCAAAAAATGTTGATTATCTTTTAGGTAAGTCGATGAATGGTTATTGAATTATTAATAAAAATAAATAATATTTAACTAATTGGCTATATAAATATCTCGTGATGAATCAAAACTGCAGAAAGAATACTAAATTCTGTTCCGTTTTATTTGTATAATAAATCAAATGCTCTTTTTTTCCTTTGAATTAATTAACTGTGTCATTTCATTTTGTAGAGCTGATTTGAGCGTAGCAATTAATAAATTTGTATAAAAATTAAAGTTACAATTTTCATTTCATTTAAAATGGTTTTTACTTATTTCACAGTTTCACGCTACTGGGGCCGCTTTTTTTATATAAAACTTTGCATTAACCATAAGAGACTGCTGATAATCAATGTGGTCTTGATAAAGCGAAATGGAAAGTAATGGCAAAAATTAGTTTTATACATCAAGACTTTCAAAATATTTTAATTAAACCTATTTACAACACTCGTGTGGTTTACGATACTTTAATATTGACTAATAATATTGCATGAAATAATATTATTATTATATGATAAAATAAGCGATTATTTTTTGGCGAGAAGCACAACACGCGTGACGTGTTTTTGATGATAAAATATTTTGGATGTTTTTGAATTATATACCTATAGCAGTATAGTTTTTTACAATTTTATGATTTGATATGTCCGATGGCATTTTTAATTCAAAGTAAMATGTGATGTATGATCAGGTAATTAAAAATGCATCGTGATAATTTAAAATTAAAAAAATAAAATATATTGTTATTTTTGTACAAGAATTTAAAAGTACAACTTCAATTTTTGGTTGAATGATTTTAATTATTTTGTCATAATTCAAAAATATTAATCATATAGACTTTAAAGTTTTAAACATTTTATAATGAATATAAATATCATTAATTTTTATACGCTATAAAAATGTTCAAAAAATACAGATTAATTTCTAACTTATTCACATCATGTGATATTTTGGCAAAAAATTAAATTAATCAGCCTGATGAAAAAAATACTAATCATAAGAGATCAGAACCATTCCTTTTTTTGTCATGATGTTTTATTAAATTAACATTTATCACGTCCCTCGCAGAGTAAATATTATTTGAAAATATTAATAAATATTATAAATATTAAAAATAAATAATAAAATATTTGAAAGTAGTAATTAGTCAAACCCGAATTGTTTAAATCAAACTAACCGAACTTTACCTTTTTTTTGAACCCGAACCCAGCCAAACCTTTATATGTTCTACCGAACCAAACCAAATTGAACCTAAAATCAGTTTAAGTTAAATTCGAACTCAACATGTTTATTATTTATTTTTAAAATATATTTAAAATATTATGATTAGTTAATAATTATGTATTATCATGTGGAATCACCATTTGTTATACTGATCCAAGACTAAGTCTCTATCTCCTCTAGACTCTTAGTAACCATTTGTCCTACTTTTGAGAACATGCTCTCAGAGTAAGCGAACGTGGCAGGAATACCTAGATATTTCATTGCAACTGGTAATAAATTTGAAAATGTAGTTTTATTAGAGCTCTGCCGAATTAAAGGATTTAATTTTATACCATTTCACATTTTTTTATTAATAGTAGAGCTATGGTATTGAAATATTATGATTGTAGGTCTGCGGCCTTTACTGCAAGCGATAGAAATCTCTTCAATGTCTAGTCCAATAGGGGTGGACCTGTAATGGGGCACTAGAAAAATAACAAAATATTTTTATAAATGGTACACGACGTAGTCATTACATCTCATCACTTTCTATCGCCAATCGTCTAATTACTTATTTCTAAATAATCATTATCAATTTTTATTTTTATTTTTATTTTTGTAGAATAATTTTTGAAGAATTGTATTAATATATATTAAATAAATTTATATTGTAATAAATTGTATTTATTTGGTCTTCGAACTATTACGGCCATTAAGTCTGAAGTCTAATTCAACAATTATTTTAAAGTTTGATTTTTRAACAGTAAAACATATTTGATAGTTCGGTTCGAATTATTTACCGAGTTCAAATTTTGAATAAAACCAAAATCAAGCGTTGGATTTGGTTTGGCGTAACACGTTTCCACCAAAAGTAGACCTTAATTTACCAAAATAATTTGTATACAACGCTTATATTAAAATCTTTAATACAGTAATAAGTTTATTCAAAATACTAATGCTGAATTGAAAAAACGATAATGGATATATTAGTGTATTTAGTTATGTATATATTGTATCTATTTATATATATATAATTGGTTGATATTTTTTTTCAATCGTAGAATATAGTACCTAGTGTACAATTGTTTTTGTAAAAACGTGGTAAATAATTTTATTTGGTGGAAACGGATATTGGTGGAAAAAGGAAAGATACACTTTTGGTGGAAACGGGTATTGGAGGAAAAGGGAAAGGTACACTTTTGGTGGAAACGGGCATCGTCCGTTTGGTTCGGTTTGAGATTCAAACAGTTCGACCAATCATTACTTGAAACCTAAAAAATTGAACATTTAATCTAGATTGAAGGAGTTTTCTGACTCACTGATGAGTCGTACTTACTATTATCAAATTTAACTTTTGATTCTAATGACTAGCAGTACTTATATAGTTCTACTCTAACAAAAAAATATTAATAACATGATTACATTTTTCCCCAAGTGTAATAATTATAATCAACTGATAAAAAATACCAAAAATATTTAAAAAATTGGAAATTTTGAACAATCTTCATGGTTTTTCCATACAGAATTGACAACTACAGTGATTAATTATTATTTTGATATAAATTCGTAAACATTCACATTACACTTTAAAAATGATTCTATATCGGTTAAAAGTACATAAAACCACAATTCCAATATTTATTGACGGTTTTTGTAAGTTTTTGTTTACGATTATAGAAACTATAGAAAAAACTGAAAAAAGATTTGATTTCCAAATGTCGTAACATAAAACTTTTTGAGCACTAACACCCGAAAGTTAATAATAAACATTGCTATATACCAAATACATTATCGATTAACCCACAAATTTCAATCCATTTCCTCTCGTAGATAAATATATACATGGAATTCCTCAATCTCAGATGTATAATAATACATATTTAATAATAAATAAATAAAATCATTTAATTACCTGAGTACCTAAGTAGAAAATCAATAAAAGTACAAAGTATTTTGACAAAGTATTAAGATGTAGTTTCCCTTCACTTAACTCTGTACATCATAATAATACATAATTATAATAAGTTAATTAATAACGTATAACATTATATTACTATAACTTAGAAATGTTTAAAATAATTTTAAAAGTATATAAGTATATTGAAACAGTTAAAGTAAAAAACCCGTTTAGAATTCAATATATGTTCTAAAATATTAGAACATTATTGTAATCACATTGTTACTTCTGTATATCTTAAAATTACCAATTGTAAATAATCCTTAGTAATTATAAAAATATTTTTAATTATCACGTAAATCAGTTAAAACAAATGTAAATTGTCAAATATCCCTAGATATAGATAGCCGTGGGCTAGGAATATCTTATGTTTAGAAAAAATATATACATACATATATGTTCTAGTCAACAAATTATACCATAAATAAATTCAGGATATTGTTCGAAATAAAAAATTTTAAAATACAATTTTAAAATTAAGACCAATTAAAGGTTGAAAATGAAACAGTCACTGTATGTTTAAAGTATTTATATTATATTGATTATGGTTTTAAGTTTTAATTCAATTTAATACTATACACAATTCAGTTTTTAATAATGTTGTTTAATAAATACGTATATATTACTAATAAATTATAACATTAATCATATTTTTGCTATGATGAATTAAAAAATGAAAAGTTAAATGTTGAAAAAAAATTACAGTTTTTCATTTTYATTTTGACCTGCGATACATTTTGTTATCAAATTATTATAATTCATAAAAATAAATTTTGTTTTTAGTGGAGACAATAAAGAAACATAATATTCTATACATTTTATTGGACGGTCTGTATAATAATGTATAAAGTGGGTTGTATTTCATACATTTGTATGCGTGTGTAACGTTATGTAAAATACATACATATGGTTGTATATGAATGTTTGAAATACATAATAATAATAAGCACCCTTATGTGAACTACTTGTACCTACACACAAAGTGGTTATTCTATAGTTATATTATTATGTATGCTTTTGTATAAATTTTTCTTATAGAATTTACCATATGTAATGGACAATATTTCAAACGAATATTCCTCGATTAAATGGATAGGGCAGTTGACACCATTAAAAATAATATCTTACAGTAATTTATAAAATATACATCATGTACCTACTTATCTACTTACTGTCAGTAGGTAACGGTAGACTACCGATACGGTAATTGTGTTCAAATACGTTTTATAACACCACTTCACTGAAAACTGAACATATATTAAATCAAAATTTTTTGAGAATTAAGAAGTTCCAATACATGATACTTTTATTTTTTGGTATATAAATGTGTAAATAATAAGATAAATACTTTTTATTGAATTATTAATTAAAAATATTATTTTCAAAATATAAATTATTGCAATATTTGAAATTATTATAAAATTAATTTGATTTTCTAGTAGTTAAAAATGTAAATATAATATGACCTATATTTTATAATTTACGATTCATTATTTATTTTATATAATTTTTTTTCCTTCAGAAGATTAAATTACAGATAATAATTTATCAGTTTAGGTTTTTTTTTTTTTATTGTTTATTAAACTGTTTGACAAAATGATACATTATGTTTTAAAGTTCCTGTTAAAATCTCAATATTTAAAATACTGTTGTATGTAATAGAAAAGTTTTTGGTGATTTAGATAAAAATGCATATTGCATTGTTCCCACGAACCATGTGAAATTTAACACCATGAAAGAATTTTAACGGGGTGGTTTTTTTTTCATTAGTACTTTTGGAAGGGAAATTTTTGGAAACGATTCAAAAACAAACAGGAATTGTGGCGAACCGGTGTCTCGTGACGATCGTCGGTTGGCTACGAGCCTAAAATATCGGCTGTTGAAATACATAATGTCTTTGATATAAAACCGCTGAGCAAAGTCAAATAAAAGAAATCATGTTTATATGTATTGTGTCTTAGGTTTGTTTGCGTATTCGCACATGGAGTTCGAGGTGGACCGAGACAAAGGACAAAACGGTGACCCACCCCTACATGAGATGGCCGTCAAAGCGTTATCTATACTCCAGAAGAACAATAAAGGATTTTTTCTGTTTGTTGAAAGTAAGTATACGTTGAAGATTCACATATCATAATAATCGGTAGTTATGTTCACATTGGTTGTGATAATTATTATAGTTATTCGGAACAAAACAAATCAAACACAATTATTCCAAATCCACACAAATAAAATAACATCAATAATATGTACAATTTTAAATAATAATATACAATATAATCTACATAATTACATAATATATTTTTTTATAATTGTATTTAATTAAATAATTGTGTATATTCGAAGGTAGGAGAATAATAAAATATCCCTAAATATATTAACTAAATGTTTAAATACGTAAATGCCAATAGTAAACATACCTTTTATGAAATAAACTTTTAAAATTTTTTTKACAAAACTAACACTGGTATACATTTTAAATTAAAGTGTGTTTATGTGTTAACTATTCAGCTTATACCATTTTTAAGCTAAACGAAAAATAAATTGCCCTTTCTTTAAATTACATTAAAACCTAATTTTGATAAAACACAAAAATAAAATAAGTGCTCTCACTTCATTGAAGTTTGTGTATAATGGGAAAAAAAAGGTAATCTGTATACACACATATTATTACTTGTATGTAGATTAGCTTACGACATAAGAAGTATATAATTTATTCTGTAAAATTACAAAATTCTTATAAGCTATATTRTCCTGCCGTCAGCCTCCTCAGCCTTCTCTTTAAAATCTGTTAAGAAAAATAACACCAATAACTTATGCAAATTAAATAAGACATCAAAAATTTGGTTATTATTAATTCCATATAACCATGGTTAAAAAGAAATATAATTTTCATATCAATATACATAGGGGAACTTAACTCCTATGTATAAAATAAAGAATAATAATTGGTTTAGAAATAATTGTAAAGTTACAATGTAAAATAAAGTTTTTACTATTTTCGTTTTTCAACATTTAACTAAAGTCATCTGATGCAAATGTTGAATAATATGAGAACTGAAACTAAATTTATTTCAATTTAAATAATCAAACGACCGCGACATAATAATGTCTGTAACAAATTATACCTAATTTACATATTAGTCTCTTGTTTATTGCATATATAAGTTAACGTATAATCTATTTATCTATATAATGTTTAGTGTCATTACTACTTGTATAATACTCGTTTATTATCATCTCTACAAAATGAATGTAACTTAACGGAATCCATATTCATGTATGGTGTTCATTCAATCATTGATGTAACTAGTGTGATAGGGAACTATTAGCCAGTCGCTTAAATTTATCAATATTCCTACTAGAACGTTAAGCACAATAATTTTAAATTTTTGAAAACATACATTATTCTCAAGCAACATGTCAACAGTCCTTTTTGTGAACTTAATGGATGAAAACATTTAAAACACAATATAATAATTTCTCAATGATACATCTATTGTTTTACGTCATTTTCCAAACATCAAATTAAAGCGTCGATATTTTAAAAACATTTTCAATCGAAGAAGATCGCATTAATTTGTATACTTTTATGGTTCCCAATATTAAATTAAATAAAATACAGTTTTTATTAATTTTATTAATATTTTTATATTAATGGAGAAGTGAGGTAGTGTCATACGAGGTATAAAAGATTTTTATACAGATTGTTTATGTATAAAAAAAATATTTATCAATACTAATTTTTTAATTTAATACATAAAAATATAATTTTTATGAACTATAAATATATTAATTTAATGAAAATTATTTTTAGATTTCGCTGAATCCAAGGTAATAAAATAAATAAAAATGAATTAAAGATTACTATTGTACTTTGAACCTTATAATCACTTATTAACTTATCGGCTAATTGGACTAATTGGATTTATTTTGTTACCTTGGATCCAGTAATATCGAATTTATCAATAGCTCCTGGTTTTAACAATAAAATTATTGGAAAAACGGTAAAACCACCAATACTTTGAGGAGCTGTATCTCACAAACCAATCAACGAAAAATAAAAATGTTAACAAGTAAATTCATGAAAAACATGGTTTTTATAAATTCGTGATATTTTAATTCTGTGTTACTATTTGAAAATCAAAAGTTTATAGTGGTTTCACCAATAAATATAAGGGTGAAAAAAATTTAAATATTATACAGAAAACCTTTTTTTTTTTTTTGAAAAACATAAACCTAAAAGTTAAAAAAATATTCAAAAAAGTTAATACTTTTTGTGATAATTAGTGTACCCACTTAAACAGATCACCCTGCTATATACATAAATAATTTTACGCAAAAATTAGAAATAAAAATCTTAAGGACTCCACATTTAAGTCATGCTATACAAATCCTGATATACCTAATGACTAGAAATAATTTAAATTTAAAATAATTGATTTATAATTCGTAGAAAATTCAAATATCAGATTAAATTTCTTATTATATTGATCATCATTATATATATATATATATATATATTTAAACAACCTTAATAAAATAATTCTTCACCTGTGGAAGATAATATCATACACGCTGATATTATTTTTAAACTTTGGTGATCCTATAACTTCAAAATCTTGATGAAAGTTTACATAATATGTGCTTGAACCAATAAAAATCAATAACTTAAATAATTTAAAACTCATAATCATAAAATGTATTGGTTATGAAACCACTTATTTTTATTGTATTTTTTAATTCCATTATAAAGATTTATTACCAGGGAAATCTTTCAGGTGGCCGCATCGACCACGCGCATCATTACAACAATCCTTACAGGGCGTTAGAGGAAACGCTTGTCCTGGAATCCACGCTGGAAGCCATTATGTCTAAGGTAGACTTGTCAGATACACTCATTGTTGTCACTGCGGATCATTCACATGTAATGACAATGGGAGGATTGGCAACCCCTCGTGGCAACGATATATTGGGTACGTGCAGTTTCATCCCTACTCAATATTGTGCTACACTAAGCAATATTATTAGACTTATTATTTATTTTTTGTCACTATAATCCAAGCAAACACGTTTTGCACCAGGTCGATTGATTACACTTTAACTAAAACTATTTTCGAAACTTATTTCAACTATTTAATGACTTATATTTGATCTTTATTTATTTGTTGATGAAATAAAACATTCCAAAATATTAATGATAAAGCAATATAAAAAGTACAATATAAACATTCCATAGAGAAAAATCGTAAATTCCTACTCAACATTCCAATTTAATCAGATTAAATCACTGTTGTTAGAACATGGTGTTACAGTTTAAGTAAAAAGTTACAAGCTAAAAATAAAAGCCTTACTTTTTTACTTACCAATAAATAGTATTTGCGTGCCCATACAAAAGTTCAAAATAGTTTTTTGTCATTACACTAAAAACCATTTTACTACCATACTAAAACCAAATCAACATCATTCCAAGTTCAAATAAATTGCTTATCACGTATGTAAAAAAAATATAATATATTTATAATACCCAAAAAATAACTTTACACGACTAAATTGATTTAAAAAGAACAGTTACAACAGTTAAAAAACATATCTTTATGATTTTTTTTACAAATATTTAGATACAATCGTGGCACTTTCCTAACGACTTTTGTTCTTTTGAAATCATAACTTGCTTTTAAAGTTTATATTACATAAATTATCGCTTTTTGGAATAATTTGTTCAATACTTATAAGTATAATCTTAAATACCACTTTAAAAAAAATGCTTTATGAAATGACACTAGGTTAGACATTTTTTCTGATAATATTTTCTAATTTATTTATATTCCCTACTATAAGTTTTTTTTTTCAATTTGTAATATAGTTTTTAAAGATTTGGGAAACATAATATGATATATATTATATGACATCATATACATTAATATATAATATATCATTATTATTTATATTAGCTTATAAAATATATGTTAATACTTAATTGTATCAACATACCATAGAACAATGTACATAGGTGATAGGTGTGTGGTATTTAAAGCTTAAAACAAATCCAAATATTTTTGAAATTCAACTATGTATAGATAGTAATAATAGTATGGGAAACAGTAAAAAAATTGAATAACTAAAATTTTAAAAAAGATAAAAATTATATCCGTTGTAAAAATAATGCTTGGACTAGCAAAATTAATAGGTAGATATTCACATAAAAATATTTATCACAAACCTAACTTATATTATGATTAAATATGATAATGCTTAATAGCCATTTTGACTTCGATAGTTATAATATTGTAGTATTATCTTACATACACTCAAAATTAATTTACTTGTTTGTTATTGCCTCAATATATAGGTACTTGGTTACCGTCCACCATACTTGGACGTTTTGTATAATACCTTTAAAGAATAAGTATACTAATATTTACTCCAGCAAAACTTTCAAACAAAATTAAGCAATGATAGTATATTGTTTACAGTTAATTTTTCCAAAGTTAATGTTACATAATAAAACTTACTACACAATTAAAAAATACGATTTATGAAAAATTCTTATATTGTTGGCCATTTTCAAATATTTAAATTGAAATAATATTTAACTTGTATACCTATTAAGGTTTTTGTTGTTTTTTTGTAAAATTGTATGCCAATATAAAATATTGTAGTCAATAAATTATTAAAATTAATTTTTTTAATAATAGTGACGGCACTTAAGTGTGAATTTATGTATTTATATGGTGTTTACTAAATACTGTTGCCTGAGCAAACTGGAGAAGGTCGGAAGTAAAGTTTACCAATAGGTTATGAATCAGGGAATTAACATGAAAATATTTTAAACAAAATACAATATTCGACCTTAGATGTTTTCCTTTTTTCAATAAAAATTTCACGTGCAACCTAGAATATGCCTAAAATTTAAAAAAAAAATTATTTTTTTCAGTTAATAAATTTTTAATTGTTTCAACAACTTCATTATTTTTATAATGTTAAAAAAAAAAATGTCAAATATAACAATACTGAGAGCGAAGTATTTATCATACATTCATACTTCTCAAGTTTTGGTATAGATAAGTCTTTGGGCAGGATAATTTTCTTTATTTTTAATCGATTTTCAGTAACGCTTTATTTATCACCGCAGAATATGATAAAATTGGATTATATGTTAATATTCTTAGTAGGTACATTAAATTCTAGAAAAAATTTAGCATGCTACTACATATTTGTTAACTACACTATACCCAAAAACATATCTATGATTCCTCAATTTTTCATTCAGAGGAAAAATATAAGGTAGAATACTAAATTTATAAATTTACGTTTTATATTTTCTTGGATTAAAAACTGCTGAGCAATTTTCTGGTGATAGGGTGATAACGAACATTTATCGAATTTACATACTACACTATAATAGGTGTTTTACACTTCGTATCAAGGTGGAAATTATACAACATACTTTACAAAGTACCTAAGTATTCGTTGACCATTCAAATTATATATTTTATGGTACACTAGAATGTGAATATATGTATTGTTTAATGTTTGAATATCATCATAACTTGCAATATCATGAAAAGGTATGGGTTTCCTGTTAATACTACAATAAAATATTGAACTATTGAGTCATAATACCATTTCGAATGTTTTCGACTTAAACGAATAGATGTCAAAACATATCGGTGATCATAAATGTACATCCGTAAGAGTATAATATGTAAACATCATGATATTTATATACGGTTTTTACGGGCAATATAATAGTATATAGGTATATAGTATTTATCATGTATATATATTTGCATTCTACGCTTTCATAAAACTATGCGAAAGTTGAAAGTTGAATGTTTATTTTTATGTTTACTGGTTTTTCATTTTCTACTTTCTATCGTGACATAAACGAGTTTATAAATGTATACATTATACATTTGAGAAGATCTGGTGGGGTAAAACAACGTAAGAATTGTACGACAGTTTCATCGTCTTTCATTCCTTCTTGACACAATAGGAAATATAGCTACACGGAGTGTAAAATAAATAAAATCCTTGTATTTGTCATATCCTCGTTTGTTTGTTTTTGTATGGATGTTTATAAAAAAGAGTTTTACACGTAAAAAAAATAAATCAAATAAACCATTCAGCGAACACAGAGTTCACAATATTTTAAAGCGACGATATAATAATAACGGGATCCCTTTTATACTATAGGTAAATGTCTCAAATACTCATTAGCACCGTGCTAAAATATAATATAAATTATGAGGTGTTTAGAAAATTATAATCAATAAATTTTCAATTGAAATCCATTATCGTACAGTGTAGTGTAGGTATTGTTAATACGTAATATAAATTAGCCCTCGTAGACATTATACTCCACTCACATGTTGAATGATACATAATCTTATAAGCAATACCTACAGTATTAACACTAACAAGAAATTTACGAACACTTGTGATCATGCATGATCATTCAATTTAAGTATTCAATTTAATAAATTTTTGTTATATTCTGATAGACCAAAAAAAATATATATATATATATATATTATTATAACATATTTATATGGGAAACAAGTTTATATTATTTTTATTTAATTGAATGATTGAACTGGATGAAGTCCTATAAAAAAAAAGTAAACATATAAATAAATTGATATAAAATTTAAAGAAGATTAAAAATAGAAATACGATTTTCGAAATCAAATAAATCGTTATCAAGTATTTTGTTTTTTATGAAATCTTGGAAAAAATTTAAAATTGTAATTATTAAGTTATTATTTAATTATTAAGACTATTGATATGGAAATAATTTGTATAATAATAAAATATTTTAACCTCAGATAATAACCTCGTTGTTGATGCCGTAAACAATTAATAAGAAAATTGATAATAATAATAATAATAATAATAAAATATATACAGGCTATACATTGTATTCACTTATAAAAACAAATACTATTGAAATAATAAACATTCAACTCGCCAAAATTTGTTTTTTTATTTATTTTGACAATTATTATGTTTGGTGATGACTTGTGTAACGAAAACAACATAGACTCTAAGGGAAACGTACAATAAATCATGATCCAAAAACAATGACATGTACGATTTATTATTTGAGCGTTATTTTTTACAAAACTATACTCATTTACCATGAACCTAACTAAATCGAAACGCTCCAAAAATCAAAACCCCACAGTTAAATGCATAATTTCATTATCAACTTTTTCTCGTTCATCTAAAAATGCCTCCACGCAAATGACACTTCAGGGGTTTATTTACCTGGGATTCAAGCTTTTAACGTAATTTAAATTATTTGAGTATTATAATCATTCAAATCATAGTTTTAAATTTGCATGTATTAACCATGATTGTTATACACTGGGCATAATAATATTATCATATATTCATATATAATATGAAAAGAATTTTTAATGGTTAAAAAAAAATCATTGGTTAATTTTAAAAGATATTGAACTAAATTTAAGGAAATATTGGCCGATTATTGTATCATTAAACTCTCATGCATGTAATTTAGTGTATTGTGTACGTGTATATATAGATTTACATTAATTGTAGTTTCAAAAACAATATTTTAAGCATAATTGATTGAGTAAAATATATTGTAATAAGTTGTATTAATACATTGAAAAATTATCAAACTAATTATCGTCTTGGAAGTGATATTTATTTACGATGATGTAATTTAATTGTAATTTAATAATAATAATATGTAACCAAAAAAAATTATCATGATAAATACACATTAGAGGTTGCTTCATTTTGACTAGCCCCGGGCGTAACGTTTCTTAAATTGTCTCGTCATCAAAACATTATGTGGGTATGGATCACAAATACAATATTAATAAACACAGACATGAAAAAAAATGTACATTAATTAATTGCTTTTAGATTTATAATTTACAGCCCGTTCAGCCAACGCATTATTACTAGAAAAATATAAGCCTTGATAAAAATATTAGAG